CCCCCCCCTCCAAACCATACAGCCAAAGACGACAATTTAAACAAGCCAGAACTCGTCATTGATACACACAAAAAGAGTACTCAAGTCTTTCTGTACCGTGGAACCGAGAACGTTTATTTCTGAAAATGTTTCTCAGTGTACACGTGTCACGTGACCCTCAAATGGTAAGTAAAACCGTTAAGAAAGCAAGAAACCCATCAGAAACGAAGGGCTTGAACCCACACCTCGCAAGAGAAACAAAGCAAAACTAAACGGAACAAACAAAAAAAAAACACACAAAAAAGCAGAAATAACAAAACCAGTATTTATGACATATTGTGAGCAGCGACTTTCACAAAAAAAGCAAACAAATAACCCCCAACAATTCTAAGGTTTCTGTGCTACCTTACAGATCTTACGACCACATTTGGAGGTACAACATTTGCGAGATTTTTTACAGTCGATGTCCTCAGCACACAGAGGTCGTCGCCGTATCTCTTTCTTACAAGCTAGGGAGTCTAGTGGAAGTGCCTGGGCTGACACACTGGGACACACCCCCTGGCTGAACACACAAACTGGGCGTGGTCTGCAACGTCTGCATCGTTTACGCAAGGCGCATTCATAACCAGGTGGACATTTTGGGCAAGGCTTCTGTCGCCGCTCACACATCTGTCGGTGCGTACACTGGGTTCCGTCAAACGGGCAGGTAGTCACGAGCTTACATTTATTGCGGGCGCCGTAACACTTTCGGCTGCAGACGGCAGGAAGACACTCCGCCTTCTCCGTGTATTCACACGGCATGTCAGGGCTACACTTGGATTTGACCATCTTGCACTCCTTCCCGGCCGGACACTGCAAGTCGCCGCAGGTGTTGGGTCGGAGGTCAGTGCACGTCTGCGTGAGTGGACACGTCTTTGCAAGGCAGAGGGCATGGATATGCTCACACTTGAAGCCCTCTCGGCATTGCTTGGTGCAGGCAGGCACACACCGATGCTTTGGGGGCTCGCACGGATATGGGAAGGGGCAGCTCATGTTGACAGACTCACACGTCGTTCCTGGAAAGAGTTGGTCTTTCAGTTTTGGTTTTAGAAAGGTTTTACGGCGCTCGCAACTGCATAACGTCATAATATATAATTATTATAAGCGCCAAGGGGTGGATGTCAACAGAGAAATCTAAACAGGGAACCAGGCTTACTCTGCTCACCTCTCTAGCTTCAACAGCACAAAGTCTGCTTCGACTATCAAGGCACCCCGGAAATAACAGTTCACAAGAGAGTGACAAACGTACAAAAGAAGTAGAGGAAAATGACAATAGGAAGGATAAGGAAGGAAAAAGCAGCAGTTCCTCGCCAACCATCAGCATAATAAATAATTATGTAGTAAAATATACATTTGTACCAGGTAATGACAACACAACAACAGACAGGTGAATAGAAAAACAAACAAACAAACAAACAAGCACAACAAAACCCCCCAAACAAAACCCCAAACAAAACAAACAAACAAACAAACTGATCTCTCCTCATCAAAAAGCTACCATTGTCTGAAGGGGCAACTGGTTTAACCCTATCCGTACGTCATATTTTACTATCGCATCCATACGACGTGGGGAACTCTGTGCCACCACTTAACCCTATCCGTACGTCGTATCTTACTATCATATCGATACGACGTGGGGAACTCTGTGCCACCACTTTCCACAGAGGAAATTTTCTCGTTAATCCGATCCGTATGCTTTGCATAGCAGTCTGTCAAAACTATTTTTTGAGGAATACAAATGTACTGAACGTTTCAAAGAGATCTTCGTACTAGAAGTATTCTAAAATGTGAAAAATACAATCCCGGGGGTACAAAACGACCCCAGGGCGTACGGATAGGGTTAAGAATTTTACAGCAACTTGTAAATAAATGTTAATGCTGACGATTAGAGGTGCGTACCATACAAAGGAAAGAAGGGGG